CGAGAAAAGGAATTCTGGGAGTTGAAGTCCACAAGCCCTAAAGCAATCAAGTTTGAGCACCCCTGGGTTTTTTTCCCGAAAGGGTTGGGGGTACAAGGATCTTGTAACTTGACAGCTTTAAGACTTGCGTGTTTCAAATGCCAGTTTCTGAGCCAACAATGTGGTTGCTAAGTAAGAGCGTTGTTAAATGAGTCTACCCAGTCACATGGCTGCCAAACCACTCCCACTCAGTCACATGGCTGACAAGCCACTCCCACCTGGTCACATGGCTGGCAAACCACTCCCACAAAGCAGGCCACACCTACAGAAGAAGTTCTAAAAAAATTTGAAACCCACCACTAGAGTGGCTTGCCAAGTGGGAGTGACTTGACAGTCATGTGACTGGGTGGGCATGGCCAATTTGGAAAATGTGGTGAAACTCACTTAACAACGGTCTTGCTTAGCAACCAAAATGTTGGCTCAGAAACTGGCATTTGAAACACGCAAGTCTTAAAGCTGTCAAGTTACAAGATCCTTGTACCCCCAACCCTTTCGGGAAAAAAACCCAGGGGTGCTCAAACTTGATTGCTTTAGGACTTGTGGACTTCAACTCCCAGAATTCCTTTTCTCGCTCTTCATCTTGATGATGTGCAGAGGGGCAGGGGGAGGGAGCTGGAACTGTTTCTAAACGGCACTGTAGATTTGTGGAACCTCTTCTATAGAGGAGGTTAGAACTGGCAAGAGCCACTCCCACCTGGTCACATGGCTGGCAAGCCACTCCCACAAAGCAAGCCATACCTACAGAAGAGGTTCTAAAAAAAATTGAAACCCACCACTGAAAAGAGTTCACTAGAAGCTGCAGTGTAACAAGTCAGATTGTCAGTCAATCTTAATTTAGGGTAGTCTACAGTGTGGCTGGTCTCCAGACTTCACACAGAACTCTTTTCTGCACCTGTCTTGAGATCCTTGAGAGGTTTTGAACGCAAAGTATATGGCATATCACTGTCTTTTTTGTAATATTTTCTATCACAAATATCCCAACCATATAAATTTCTAATTCAAGTGGGTTTTGTTTCTTCAGTCTAGTTGCTTGGATAGTTTCCTCTTTACTTACCCAAACATATGGAATAAATGAATCAAGACCCAATATTTTGTTGATAATGGCAGATGATCTTGGATATGGAGATTTAGGATGCTTTGGTAATAATACCATCAGGTAAGTGTAAAGTTTAAAATGTGCCAGAGATATTCTGTGACTCTAAGAACCATGAAAGCACAGTTCAGGGAAAATATGCAATCTTTCTAATGAGAGGAGAGGAGACCAGAGGGAATAAAATAAAATTTAAAAAATGAATGTGTCTTTAAAACTATTATACATGAATAAGCTAAATCCTTTTCTATTTTTTTTAAATTATCCAGATCAAATAAGCAATGTTTTGCCTGCCACAAGTGGCTCAAAGGTATCACAATGTTTTTTTTTTACTTACTAGAGTTTTTAAATTGTGTTTTTGGATAGGTAGAGGTAAAACTCGAAAAATTAGAATATCGTGCAAAAGTTCATTTATTTCAGTAATGCAACTTAAAAGATGAAACTAATATATGAGATAGACTCATTACATGCAAAGCAAGATAGTTCAAGCTGTGATTGGTCATAATTGTGATGATTATGGCTTACAGCTCATGAAAACCCCAAATCCACCATCTCAGAAAATTAGAATATTACATGCAATCAATAAAACAAGGATTGTAAATAAAACAATATCGGACCTCTGAAAAGTATAAGCATGCATATGTACTCAGTACTTGGTTTGGGCCCCTTTTGCAGCAATTACTGCCTCAACGCGGCGTGGCATGAAAGCTATCAGCCTGTGGCAATGCTGTGGTGTTATGGAAGACCAGGATGTTTCAATAGCGGCCTTCAGCTCTTCTGCATTGTTTGGTCTCATGTCTCTCATCTTTCTCTTGGGGATGCCCCATAGATTCTCTATGGAGTTCAAGTCAGGCGAATTTGCTGGCCAATCAAGCACAGTAATCCCACAGTCATTGAACCAGGTTTTGGTGCTTTTGGCAGTGTGGGCAGGTGCCAAGTCCTGCTGGAAAATGAAGTCAGCATCCCCATAAAGCTCGTCTGAGGAAGAAAGCATGAAGTGCTCCAAAATCTCCAGGATCCATCTCTGTGTGGTGGCTCTTGATACACTGACTCCAGTCTCAGTCCACTCCTTGTGAAAGTCCCCAACACTTTTGAATGGCCTTTTCCTGACAATACTCTCCAGGCTGCGGTCATTCCTGCTGCTTATGCACCTTTTTCTTCCACACTTTTTCCTTCCACATAACTTTCTATTAATGTGCTTTGATACAGCACTTTGGGAACATCCAACTTCTTTTGCAAATTACCTTTGGAGGCTTTCCGTCCTTAAGGAGGGTGTCAATGATTGTTTTCTGCACAACTGTCAGGTCAGCAGTTTTTCCCATGATTGTGATTTCTACTGAACCAGACTTCTAGACCATTTAAAGGCTCAGGAACCCTTTGCAGGTGTTATGGCTTAATTAGCTGATTAGAGCAGGGCACTTTGAGCCTAGAATATTGCATCTTTTCACAATATTCTAATTTTCTTAGATTGTGGATTTTTGGGTTTTCTTGAGCTGTAAGATTTAATCATCACAATTATGACAAATCACGGTTTGAACTATCTTGCTTTGTATGTAATGAGTCTATCTCATATATTAGTTTCACCTTTTAAGTTGCATTACTGAAATAAATGAACTTTTGCACGCATTCTAATTTTTTGAGTTTCACCTGTATATGGGAAAGAAGAGAGAATTGCTGCAATGCAGACAATGGCCAACCCAACCCAGAAAGGAAGAGTTTAAAAAGTTAAGATGTTATTCACAAATGTGTGATTGAAGCCCCACTTCCTTTACATGTAGGATGTATACAATCCACATTAAAAACATGTTTGCTTCAAGGGTTCAGTTGCAGCTCCCATCGTGACAAGTAAGAATTTCACTGAACCACTGCCTGGCTATATTCCCCCTGTCCTGGAAGATCTAGTAATTTGACAGAAGGATTTGCAAGGCTGTATTCTAGGCCAGTCCTCAAGGAGACCGTTTTCCCCCCTGTGGACAATTTTATACCATAAGGGGCAAGCTTGCCATAAACCAGTGTTTTTCAAACTAGACCACTTCAAGATATTGGACTTCAACTTTGGCAACTTTAAGATCTGTCGACTTCAATTCCCAGAATGTCTCACCTAACATCTTAAAGTGGTCTAGTTTGAAAGTCACGGCCAAAAACTGTCTAGCGCTACTGCTGATTTCCTTGGCCATTCAGGTTTTGTGTTGCTTCCCATACCCATCCCTTTGCTGTGGTTGGAGAACAGCTGCTAACTGTCAACTGAAAATTTTATTTGCCATTATCTCAGTTATGCCTTTGAGGTTTTTACTTTCTTGAAAGCAAAATTCCTTGTGGTTTTGTTCATTTGCATTTCAATTTATATCATAACCAATCCATGATAGAAGCACTGAAGAGTTTGTGTAAATTAAATTGGAAATTGCAATAATCACTACAGGATTTTTTTTATAGGAGATGACATTATAAAGATAGGCAAGTGAAGCAAAGCACAACTATATATTATTGTGGACGTTTTTTCAGGAATGAATGGGTAACAAATATAATGAATAAAGAAAAGAATAAAATAATTGTACTTTTAAGCAAACGGGATGATTATTTTTGTTTTTAATTTATAGTTTTATCAGATATTTACTTAGCTTTTGGTTTAGTTCTCAATAAAGTAGTCAGATTATGAATCTTAAAATAGCTAAGAATTTTCATGTAACTTCTATTTCCCAGACCTAGGAAAGTGCTTCTGGGCACTACAATTTGGATGTCTTCAATTATAACCTTTTGAAACCTGAAGAAAACTAAAAACTAACTACTATAACAACAACAACATGTCTTGTGACATCCCAAAGGTTAACAGATATGTTATTACAATCCACTTAATTGTAGTAGCTCTCTATATATTGGAATAATAAAAATGTGATATAAAACAATGATTTATTATCTGTATAATTCCCAAGACTGAGTGTGTAGCAAGGAAAAGTCCATTTGTTTAGAATGGTTAATTTCCCCTAATCATACTTTACAAGACAACTCTTGTTTTTTTCTTACAGGACACCTAATATTGATCAGCTAGCAAAGGAAGGAGTAAAACTCACTCAACATATTGCTGCAGCTTCAGTGTGTACCCCAAGTAGAGCAGCTTTTCTGACTGGCAGATACCCCATCAGATCAGGTTGGCACCTCCTGTAGTAATATATGTGATGAATAATCCCCTATAAAGGGTTTGCTTATTGGCCTCACCTGACATCTCTAAAGGAAGTAAAGAACTCTTATTTTTTTAGATCACAATATTCTTGGGCAACCACAGTGTAACCCAGGGCTGTCCAACCTTGGCAACCATAAGACCTGTGGACTTCAACTCCCAGAATTCCCCAGGCAGCCATACCAATTGGTAGAACTGGATCTTAATACTCTTCTGAGGATCACTCACCTCTGGGGATAAAATGTTCCAAAGGAACAGTATGATTCTATGTGCCGTGTGAACAGGACAGTGTGTAAAAGACATCATAAGAATTCCTATGTTCTGCATAGAGAACATAGAATAACAGAGTGGAAGGGACCTTGGAAGACTTCTAGTCCAATAAAATTAAACAAAATTACTCTTGTTTTAATAAAAATGGTCAGAATGCATATTGTAATCCTGAAGGCTTACAAATAAGGAAATCTATTACCCTTTCATGCCTGCATTGCTTTTCTGCTGCATAGCAAGATTATCTCACATTTCTGCCTCCGAACTTACAGCTTCCAGCCTGTTCATCACTTGGGTAGCTTAGGTTGAATATAAAACTAATTCCTTTCTCCCGTTTATATTTTAGGCATGGTATCTCAAACCAAAAAACGTGTTTTCATTCGGACTGGTGCCTCAGGAGGTTTGCCTGAAAATGAAACAACATTTGCTAAATTGCTTCAGCAGAAAGGTTATGCCACTAGTATTATAGGTACAATATATAGATGCTTTATTTGTCACTTGACTTTCATCTGCTGTTTCTCTGTTAAATCTCATGTGTCTGTAGAAAGGGGACAAGATTACAATGAAGACTATTGATGTTGGGTTGTTTTTGCATTTTTGCTTTTCCTTTATTTTCCTTTACTGAAGTTTAAAATTCCTCTACTGTTAGGTTACTTCCAGTTGGAAGGTTGCACAATAAATCTGCCTTTACTTTTTTTTTTAAACTGTTTTCTATGGAAGGAAAATAATGGGGAAAAAGCTGGAAACATATAGGTAGGTTTCAAGTGCAATTCTAAAAAAAATATGAACTTGATGGTGACCTGTGATACCAGATAAAAATATTGTCTGAAAACAAATTGTTTATTACTACAATACTTCTTTCACTGGGTTAGTTGGAAGAGAGGAAGGGAGGGAGGGAGGGAGGGAGGGAGGGAGGGAGGGAGGGAGGGAGAGAGGGAGGAAGGAAGGAGGTCAACAATATTCTATTATTCATTTCATATGACTAAATTGGACATCATGTTATCTTTATAACATAACTAGAATCAAAATCTATTAATGAACAATAAAAATCATGGTTTAGTTGGTGACTACCAATCAACTTTTAACTTTTCAGGAAAATGGCACCAAGGTGTGAACTGTGAATCCCGTAATGATCACTGCCACCATCCTTTAAAACATGGCTTTGATTATTTCTATGGTATACCATTGACCCTACTAAATGAATGCCAGGCTAACAAGGATCCGGAGGTGGATGTACAGCTGCAAGCTACCTATTGGTTTTGCACACAGATGGTTGCCCTCTTAGTGTTTACTCTTCTTCTGATAAAGATGGCTACTTTGTTCCCTGTGAAATGGAAAACAATTGCTTTCATAACTTTTTGTGGCATATTATTTTTTATTTCCTGGTTTGCCAATTATGGATTTGTAAGATACTGGAACTGTTTGTTGATGAGAGATCACACAGTTATTGAACAACCAATAAACCTAGAAAACGCTGCCTCCAGGATAGTGAAAGAATCTGTTGCGTTTATTGAACGGTAACTAATGAAATTATCAAAATGACTTCAAAGTAACTCTTGTTTCAGATTGGAGAGAAAAGATTTTGAATCTTTTTGAGGAAACAGTGTATCTAATATGCCACCACTGACCATCATTTGAGGATATGTAGTGGACAATACCCAAGACAATCCTCCAGTCAGCAGAGACAAATGTCTCTCTTAGGTTGGACAGCTCTAGCAGAGACATACTGGGACTGCTAAACTGGAAACCTTTTTGATGCATGCTGGAGGGTCATCCAGGCTGGGTGGCCATGATCTGGATGTTGGTGGGAGGGCTTTTAAATGCCTTTAAAGATGTCCAAAGCAAAGTAACACAGTCACTTTCCTTCATTGTTAGAAATAAATGGACTTTGCAAAATAGCTTGCAAAGCTTTGTCAAAGCTTGGCTGGGTCCTATTAAACATTATTATTTTTACATTGTGAATTCAGCAATAAATAGAGATAAAGTAGCTTGATTGTAATGATCAAGGGAACTGATGAGAGAGCTGTTGATTTATTGTTCACTCTTTTAGTGATTATTCAACAATAGAGAAGCAGAAAAGTTTGAATATCCGCTAAGATATTTAGGTGTTTTCAACTATGAGTCTTATTGGTTCATTGGCTATTTCTGTTATTTTGGGTAGAATGAAGTTTCTTATATTTATTTCTCAGAAACAAAAAAAGACCATTCCTGCTCTTTGTTTCCTTCCTCCATGTCCACACGCCCTGCTTCACCACAAAGATATTTCATGGGAAAAGCCAGCATGGTTTATATGGAGACAATGTAGAAGAGATGGACTGGATGGTAGGTAAGTAACATTGTTTAATGTTTAAAGGCCCTCCAATATCTACCCCATGGCCACTCTGTGTGGATGACCCTCATAGTTTTCTAGAAAATACAGTATACAGTAACTTCTTCACCATCCAGCATCTTTCAGTTGAAGGAAATACTTCATTTGGCAGCTGATTCCAAATCTTTGGAAATAAAAGCTTGCCATATTCTACAACAATAGTTCCCATTGCCAGAGCTTAAACATGGTCCTTTTTCATCCACATCCAAATTTTCAATTGACAACTACAGTACAAGAATGTCTCTGGTCTAACCTTGAGATAATTTGATGGTAGGAAAAAGGTAGAGAGGTGGTCTTGTGAAACTACAGTATATTTGTGTACCCTCCATGTGAGTACTTTTGTGTGTATCATATTATAGGTACATTTAAATGTTTTACCATTTTTATATATTGTATATGTATATTTTATATGCATATTTTCCCACATACGTCTGTAATATTCTAAACTGACAGACAGTACCTTTCAATATCTGGCAACATAATATATAATTGTATATAAAGACAGTGTTTTCTTTCATTGTAAATGAAAATTATTCTAATTATTTAGGAAGAATTCTTGCTGCTGTTGACAGAGTGGGATTAAGGAATAACACTTTTACTTATTTTACTTCTGATCATGGAGGATATTTGGAATTTAGAGATGGGAATATCCAGGTTGGTGGTTGGAATGGTAGACTTAAAGGTATGAAAGTTTTGTTTCTGTTATCCATGCACTTAAGTCACTGTCATGTCTTATATATGGGCTCTCTTTGGGAAGTATGGAAACCTGAGTTTCCAAACATATGGACAGTGGTTGTAATAACCAATTATTATGGCAATGTTATATTGTTTTTACTGGCATCCTGACCATTTTTAGCATGCTGATTTCACCTTTTAAGGGTTTTCATATGTTGAGACTGGGCTATCTGAAAAATTACGAACATTATTAGTTTGAAGAAGCTTTAGAAAAGTTCTTCCTGAAGTTCCGCTACCCCCAGTGCAGTTGGTAGTGCTATTCCTTCTCTATCTAATGTCCCTTGGTGTCTCCTCCCCCCCGCAACCTGAAAGTGATCTGAACATGGTTGGCTCAGGAATTCAGGGAGCTGAAGTCCACAGGTTGTAAAGTTGTCATAGTTGCCCACCCCTCTCCTGTGGCATATGTTATAAGCAAAAACTCTGCTTTAGCCCTTCTACTATTTCTACTGAAGCATTTGCCAGGTGTGAGGGTGGCAGTTAACTGAATCCACAAATGCAGATGTTGCCGCTTTCTTTGCAGCTTTGTTTGAGTTCACTGATTTATTGCTGACGCCAGTATTTTAGAGTTGATTCTGTGACTTGTGGACCATAACTGTTACACTTGAATTTCCCTCATTTATACCTCTCTGAATCCTGGATGAAAAAGCCTTTTCAATAGTAATATTCATATTGATGAAACAAGAGGAACAACCATAGTTTGATCACTTTTGGACACAAAGCAAATATTGTTTTATTTCCAGCGTTTAAGATCTTTAAAATCTCATTTTCCCAAGTCTTTAAAATATTTAGGTTCATTCGGAAGGGGTTGCTTATTATTTTTAGTAGTGGTTTGATGTACTGTGCCACACAGGTGATATTTTCTTATTAAACTTATAACCTGCCACACTCATAGTTGCCTTTCAGCAACTGACAGAGAAAAAAACATATAGCAATGAAATGAAGAAAGAGTGATCCATAAAAGTGGTGAGTTGTTAATCAAAAAGGGTCATAGCTTTCTCACTAGTACAGTAATATGGTTTTTTTTTCTCTTTGTCTAAAGGAAACAGGCGAACTGTAGGATAAAATCAATCACTTGTAATTTTGACTTCATAAAACTATCATCTTTTTCCTACTGCTATTCCTGATGCAGGTGGAAAGGGCATGGGAGGTTGGGAAGGAGGAATCCGTGTGCCTGGAATAGTTAGATGGCCAGGAAAGGTTGCTCCTAATACTGTTCTTGATGAACCCACAAGCCTGATGGATATTTACCCCACTGTGGCTCATTTGGCTGGGGCATCAGTGCCACAAGACAGGTATGCACTTTTGTTCTAAAAGTGATTGAGAGGTGTTTAGTTTTAACTAAGGCAAAAATGCAAAATATATTAAATATTAGGCTGTGAAGGAGTTTGATTGGGAAGACAAATATGGGACACATAAAAGCTCAAATCCTGCACAGTGAAGCAACTGGCTTTTTTCTTTTTTGGCAGGATTATATGTATAAGTGGAAGATGTGTCTTTCGAGTACACTACCCATCACAGCCACCGGCAGCAATTAGGTTTCCAGCATAATGTTTTCTATTGTCCTGTGTCCCAATCTGAGGACAAGTAACAATAGAAAAACAAATCCACCAGGTGTGTTAGATTCTGCCTGCTTCCTAATAAGCGAACATAATTTTATAGACACTCATATAAACCCTAGGTGAACTGCCTGGTGAGTTTTGCAGGCAGCCTTGGTTCATACATTTCTTTATTAGCATGTCTTGACATCTCTATAAATTAGGTTTATCTAAAACAAAAGAGAATTTCACCATTGTAACAACTTGTGTATTCTAGATATGAATATGCATTCCCCCAACACTTTTAATCTATTTATTGCCCTTTATCACATTCATTATAAGTTTTATAATTTACATCAAGTTCTTGCACAACTTCCTAGTCCTCCCCATGGAACTCATGGGAGGGGGGGGGGAATCAAAACTTATTAGGGAAAAAAGAACCTGATTCAAATAAATACATGCCAACACTGGCATTCATTGTTTTTGCATTCCCTTTCTCTGCTCCTTATAGCCCTTGTAATTTTCAACAAACTCTTCTCTTAGACTTTGCCTTGAACCTTTTGACAGCTATATCAGTCAGGGGCAACCCTTTCACAGACGTATTGTTGCTTTTTTATTTAGGATAATCGATGGGAAGAACCTAATACCTTTACTGTGGAAAGATCAACACTCAGAGCATGAATTCATGTTTCACTACTGTGGGTCACATTTACATGCGGTGCGTTGGTATCAGAAAGAGAGTAAGTATAAATTGTCTCTCTTGAGTATATGCCGTACATTTCCAGGTGTGTGTGTGTGACAAAGTAGACTCCACTACTTTCTTTTTCCTCGATTTTTCATTTAATATGCATAGATTCATGCTTGCACACCATAAACATGGCTTACTGTTTCTCTTCTAAGTGTTGCCATTCTTATCTTGGGAGTTGTTCATTCTACTGTACAGTTACTTTACGGTTCTGCAAAATTGAAAAATCAGTAAGGCTTGATTTAGTTACTTTTTTAAAAAGCTATAGTTTTTGTTGGAAGATGTGCTCTGAAAACAAACCACCATTGCAAAATGGATGCCACGGATGTATTTTTTTTAATTATATATATTTTTTATTTTTAAACAAACAAGCACAGACAGACATAAAACATAAAACCATCTTCCAGTTTCATAGAGAGTGTCGATTGGTTACAAAACTTTTGTACATCCTCACCATAATCTTCACTTACAATTTATATAGAATCTCGTATTATCAATCTGATATATATGTATACAATTATTATCATTGTTAAACATTTGTTTTACTATAACTATTATTACTTCATTTTATGTGAGCTATTCTAAATTTTGAATAAATTTATATTATGGCATTTCATTACATCATCCTAAATCCATCCAGTAATAATACATCTTTATAAAATTCTCTAGCATATTTCACTTCCATATTTTTTTGTCTAACCATTGATAAGTTCCATATTTTATAAAATTGTTTATCTTTGGTTACAAAATTTTTGTGCATCCCCTCCATAGTCCTCACTTACAAATTATATAAAATCTCATATTATCAATCTAGTATATATGTATACAATTATTATCATTGTTAAACATTTATTTGACTATAACTATTATTTCATTTTATGTGAGATATTCTAAATTTTGAGTAAATCTATATTGTGGCATTTCATTACATCATCCTAAATCCATCCAGTAGTAATACATCTTTATAAAATTCTCTAGCATATTTCACTTCCATATTTTTTTTGTCTAACCATTGATAAGTCCCATGTTTTATAAAATGGTTTATCTTCGGTTACAAATCTGAGGGTTGAGTGGGCACCTCCTTCCCCTTGTCCAGGAAAGACCGTCTTATCTATCAGTACAGGAATCAGGCTGGAAGCACATCATGGACATGAATAAAATGAATGCAGCACGTTATGTGACGTGACCTGCCCTCACTCAGAGGAATTGAAATCCATTGAATGGATTTGGACTGACTGGGGAATTCTGGGAGTTGAAATCTACAGGACTTAAAGTTGCCAAGGATTGGACACCCCTGTTTTACAGCAAAAATGTCATTTTCTAGATCTTCTAATGTTGCTTCAGAACCCCAGAGCCACATGACCTTAGACA